AGTCTTGGTTACTTGTCAGACTACTCTCCCAATCAAATCCTCTCCTTAGATCCCAATTAAGACTTATTTGCACAATCTGTTGATTATCCTTTCAAGCAAGTACTTCACAAGTTGAGTGCAGAGATGTTGGTACTGCCTATATTGGGAGATATAAGGATGTTGGTGTTGTCCTAGTTTAAAGGACTTACATGCATAATTTTTCTATAACCAAAACCTTTTGTAATAACTGCTTGTTACACATAGTGCCTGCACTTCACGATTGGGTCTTCTTCTGAGAATTCCTATTTTCATCATTGTACTGCACTTGGACTTAACCACAGGGTTTTGTATTTAATTACAGACTCCTTATTAGGTTACAGAAGCTAAAATCTTTCAATTTTGCCTCCAGCCAGACTTGAACTGTTGACCTTGACTGTGAAGGGTATGGGAGCTTAACCACTAAGCTATGGGACCCATACCCAAAAACATTATAATTACAAATTACTTATAATTACTATCATTATATAATTTAATAAATTTGAAAATTTTATTAATAAATAAACCTTATTATAATTATTATATCACACTGCTTATAGTATTCCTATAAAATAAGACCCCCTATGATTAAGACTTGAGTATTATTTATTATCCATAACAGTCTAACAACAAGAAATACCTAGGTTTTTTTCAAAGTTAATATTTATAAAAAATGATTAATATCCAGGTATAATATAAAGTACTAAAATTTATATTCTAATAGAATATGCATTTATGAATTTATAATGTTTATATTCTTTTTTGTATCTGCAATTGTTGACCAAAATTTATTATTTAGCTCAATTATAATTTTTAATTTTAGGACTATGCACCAATTAATAAATATCTTAATGTTATTTACTAAAGTACTGAAATAACATGAATAAAATTAAATTAAATAAGATTGTATAATAGTAGAACTAATGCAAATTAAATGAGAAACATATAGAAATATTATTAGCTTATTCAGTTTTATTTATTAATTAATTTTTATAATAGTTAAATATACAAGCTAAATCAGACCAATAACATCTTTATAAGCATAATAAATAGTTTTCCTTAGGTTTAATTTTTCTTGACTTGTAAATATAAAATCAAAATTTAGAAATACTAAACCATTTTTGACAGTTATTAATAAAGAACATGCAGTACAAATTGCTTTATAAGTTAACAAAAAAGCTGATATATATTCTGCAACAAATAATCAATATGAATTTAAACTACTACTTTATAAAACTAGAAATGGTTTTACTAAGGATTCATTTTGGAATTTATGTGATAAGTAAATACATCTTATTGTAGTTATGAAGGTCAAGAGTACTGATAAAATTCTTGATAGATATAATCTTATTGAATAGGATAAACCAGTTGGAAATACATATTTTAAAAATTGCAATAATAGCTTTATTTTTTTATTAAAAAATAGTTTTTGAATACTACTGTACTAATATATTGTTAAGTTTAGTTTTTAATAATTATTTAATATATTATTAGGTTTAGTATTTGATAATATTTAAATCTTCAAGTGATTTTTCATACAATTCAATGTAAAGTTTATTTAAATCTATAAGTTCTTTATATTTCTTTATAATGTGATAGGTTACTTCATAATAGCTTAATACTTTGCATTTATTTGACAATTTTTATAATATTTAAAACTTCAATAATATCTATTAAGCTAATGTCAAACATTAATATAAGTTTCCTCCTCATTTTTATAGTAATCATTACCTGAATCAGAATTATTATTCTTTAAATTGACATCATTATTACTTTTACCTTTTTCTTTAATGCCAATTTTTATACTTTTTGTTTCTGATACTTTTTTATAATCAAAAATAGAAGTATCTTCAGAACTATTTAACTTAGTTAAAACATTACAGCATTTGAAAGACTGTTGTATCATTAAAGAATCAATATTATTCTAAGCTTCATTAATCTAATTAGTTACTAGTGAATATGATGATCATTTAATTTTACTTAATGATAAATATTTTTTTACTGCTTCATTCATTTAATTATTATAAAGATGATAAATCTATTAGATAATAATTATAAAGTATTATATTTAAAAACATATATATTTTGTGATAGCTAATACTAAGATTTGATGTCTCTTTTTAAATTTATTAAACTTGTTAAAATTCACTTATATGTTTTAGTTAACAACTCTAATTCTAAATTCTAATATAACTTCTTAAAAAAAAAATTTAAAAACAAATATACTCAAAAAATTTATTAAATAATTCAATTCTCAGTATCAGAAACCTTGGTTTCAACTAATACAAATATTTTAATATATCTGAGCTTTAAATGCTTTATTTAAGCACACATATAATAATTGTAATTATTTGGTTAATTCAAAGGATATAATAGCAATATCAGTATTCTTTTCATAAAAGCACCATTTCACAACATTAGTTAGATGAGCTGCAAATAAATTAAGAACAAGAAGTGAGCATGAATTTGAACCTAATCTAGCATAATGACATTACATATTTTCTAATTACCAAACCATTTCCTTTTTATCCATTCAGCTGCTTAGATTAGCACAAATATATACACTATCAGAAAATAGTTCATGTAGTACATTAGCTAACTTAAAGATAATTAATGAAGGAATTTTTGTTTCATCTGCTAGACAAGTAAGTGTTATCATAAAAAAGGAGTGTTTATGTCCTGTTATAAGAACTAAAGCAGTTTATATTCTATGTTCTTCTATAGTCATTTGATTTGATAAATTAAATGACATAGGAGTTTCATTCATATTTCCAATTAAGTTCAAGGAATAATTATGTTCAGTTCGATGATAAAGAACAAATAATAAAAAATTTTGTTAATCTTCAATTATGCTTCAGGTAAATATTGGACAGTAGTAGTATGTTGATAATTTAATAATAGATTGTAAGCATAAAGCCATTAACCCATTTTTGTATAAATTTATATATATGAATATTTGGATATAAGGTATGATATTCTTGTTTGTTAGCCAAATTACAGGCTTTTGCACTAAT